TTTAATATGGTTTTGTTTTATTGATTTGCTATTTCTTTCTTTCTACTCATCTTTCCATCCTTGTTGCCCCCTCATCTCCTCCTCCTCCTCCTCTTCGTCTTCTTCTTCTTCTTCTTCTTCTTCTTCTTCTTCTTCTTCTTCTTTCTTCTTCTTCTCTTCTTCTTCTTCTTCTTCTTCTCTTCTTCTTCTTCTTCTTCTTCTTCTTCTTCTTCTTCTTCTTCTTCTTTCTCCTTCTTTCCCTTCTTCTTCTTCTCTTCTTCTTCTTCTTCTTCTTCTTCTTCTTCTCCTCTCTTCTTTTCTTCTTCTTCTTCTTCTTCTTCCTCCTCCTCCTCCTCCTCACTTCCACCTCTCTCCCTCCTTCTTACTCACTTTCACCAATTTCTCCTTTTCCTCCTCGTCCTCCCCCTTTACCTCTTTCTCTCCCTCCTTCTCTTCCCTCCCTCCCCCCCTCCTTTGCTCCATTTCCTTTTACCTCCACTTCCCTCACTTCCCTCCCCTTCCCTCCCCCTTTTTCATACCATACCCCTCCTCCTCCTCCTCCCTCCCTCCCTCCCTCCCTCCCCTCCCCCTCCCTTCCCTCCGTCTCCCCCTCACCTCCCCTCCCCATTCTCCCCTCCTCCTCCCCCTCCCTCTCCTCACCATTCTCCCCTCCCTCCCCACCCCATTCTTCCCTCCTCCCTCCACCATCCCCCCTCTTCCTCCCCCTCCTCCGTCCACCACCCCCTCTCCTCTCCCCTCCCCCTCCCTCCCATCCCTCTCCCCTCCTCCCTCTTCCCCTCCCCTCCCCTCCTCTCTCTTTCTCCTCCCCTTCCTCTCCCTCTTTCGCCACCCCTCTCCCACCCATCCCTCTCCCCCTCCTCCCTCCACATCCCCCCTTTTCCTCCCTTTCCTCCTCCACCATCCCCCTCTTCCTCCCCTCCTCCTCCCCCTCTCCAACCCATCCCTCTACCCTTCCTCCCTCTTTCTCCACCCCCTCCCCCTTCCCCTCCGTTCTCCCCTCCCTCCTCCTCCCCCTCACCCTCACCAAAGAACCCGCCTCTGAAACATCTCTTTAAGAAAATCTGTCCATCAAGAAAATGAATAAAAAAAGAAAAAAAAAAGAAGACTGGGCGAGAAGATATGCCTTGGGCGGCGCTCGCGGTCGAAGCTGCGGTGCTGAGGGTGAGTGTGATGAGGGTGATGAGGGTGAGGGGGAGGGCGAGGGTGAGGGTGATGAGGGTGAGGGAGGATGAGGAGGATGAGGGTGATGGGGACGGATGAGGGGGAGGGTAAGGGTGATGGGGAGCGTGAGGGTGGGGTGATGGAGGGGGGAGGGGAGGGGGAGGGTGAGGGGGGAGGGTGATGAGGGTGAGGGTGAGGGTGAGGGGGGAAGGGGGAGGGATGAGGGGGGAGGGTTTGTAAGGGTGATGAGGGTGAGGGAGGAGGAGGGGAGGAAGAGGGTGGGGTGAGGGGAGGGATGAGGGGGGAGGGGGAGGGTGATGAGGGTGAGGGTGATGGGGGAGGGGATGATGAGGGGGGAGGGCGAGGGTGAGAGTGATGGGGGTGATGGGGAGGGTGAGGGTGATGAGGGTGAGGGGGGAGGGGAGGGAAGGGATGAGTTTGAGGGTGAGGGAGGGATGAGGATGATGAGGGGGGTGAGGGTGAGGTGATGAGGGGGGAGGGGGAGGAAGGGACGAGGGAGAGGGGGATGAGGGTGAAGGTGATGAGGGGAGAAAGGGATAAGGGAAACGGTGATGTGGGGGGAGGGAAGGATTGAGGGAAAGGGTGAGGGTGATGAGGGGAGAATGGATGAGGGAAACGGTGATAGGGGAGAGATGGAAGAGGGTGAGGGTGATAAGGGAGGAGGAAGGAAGGGGGATGGAGGGAGAGGGAGAGGAAAGGGTAAGGGGTTGAGGAGGGGAGGGAAGATGATGAGGGGATGGAGAGATAAGGGTGAGGGGAGGGAGATGAAGGGAGGGAGATGATGGGGGAAGGGATGAGGGAGTGAGGGGAGGAAGCGGGTGAGGGGAGGGAGACGAAAGGATAAGAGTGATGAGGGGAGGGAAGAGAGTGATGATAACGTTAATGAGGGGAGAGTGAGGGAAAGGATTTCTGGTGATGGTCAGAGTGATGAGTGAAACGAGAGACCTAATGGAGTGGTGATGACGGTGATGATGATGATGGTGATGACACGGGGAGAAAGAGATATGAAGTTGGTGATGATAGTGATGAGGTGAACAATGATGGTGATGAAGTGATAGAGAATTAGGGATGAAGGAAGGAAGTAACAAAAACAACAACAACAAAATCAACAATTATTATGATAATGGTAACAACAAGAAGAACAGAAAGAAGTAGTTGAAGAAAGTAATGATAATGATAATGATAAGACAAAGAAGAAGAAATAGAAATAGAAAGAAAGAAAGAAAAACAAGAAAAAAAGGAAAAAGAAAGAAAGAAAGGAGAGGAAAGAAAAGAAAAGGAAGGAAAGAAAGAAAGAAAGAAAGAAGAAGAAAAAAGAGAAGGAGAAGAAAAAAGAGAAGGAGAAGAAAGAAAAATAAGAAGAAAAGAAGAAGAAAATGAAGAATGAAAGAAAGGAGAAGAAAAAAGAGAAGAAGAAGAAGAAAGAAGATTCCGAAGTTCTCCCAAGCTGTCATCCTTTCCGCCGACAACATTAATGAGGAAAATGAGAGCCGGAGTTATGAGGAGCCGGAGGGGGGGAGGGGGGTAGTGGGTAGGGGAGGGAAATTTTCGAAAGAGGGGGGGAGGGGGGGTTGATGAGGATGAAAAAAAAAGAAAGAAAATTAATAGTTTTGATTCCAGTTGATTGAAGTGGGTGTTTATTTCTGTGATTTATAGCAAAAAATAAATAAGTAAATATATAAATAAGTAGATAAATATGAATAGTAATAATAATAATAAAATAGAACACGAAAAAACGAAAAGGGTAATA